CCCTTCCTCTCTGACATCAATAAAAATATATTTAAAAAAAATAAAATATGTGTATATACACAAAAAACATACACATGTACACATACATACTTATCCAGAGCAGATAAAAGATTAATAGCCAGAATATATAAATAGCTCTTATAAATTAATAAAAAGATAAACCACTAGAAAAAATGACTAAAATATGTAAATAAGCAATTTAAAGAACATAATGACCAAACATGAAAAGATGTAGAGCTTCATTCATAATAAATAATGCAAATTATGTTTTAAAATAAGTTATTTTATAATTATACAACTAAATAATATTTAGCTTAAGATATGAAGAAACAAGCACATTCATATATTGTTGGTGAGAATATAAATGCATACAATCTTTTTTTGGGGGGGGGGGTTATTTGGCAATACTGATAAAATTCTAAACATGTATATCCTTTTACCCAGAAATTCTACCGCTCAGGATTTATCATACAAAGTCTCATTCCAGTACACAGATGTTCACGGGAGCATAATTTATAATTAGAAAAATATTTTGCATGAAAAATTAGAAACAAACTTCAATCCTACCAAAAGAAGACTGGGGAAATAAGAAAGAATGGTCCAATTCATATGAGGAAAATATATATTATATACTTATCGTTATTATTATTTTTAATAGATTGGGAGCATCTTTTTTTTCTTTTTTAAGGGGTTTACCTTTTTTATTTTTAAATATATTTTATTGATTTTTTTACAGAGAGGAAGGGAGAGGGCTAGAGAGTTAGAAACATCGATGAGAGAGAAGCATCGATCAGCCGCCTCCTGCACACCCATTACTGGGGATGCGCCCGCAACCAAGGTACATGCCCTTAACTGGACTCAAACCCGGGACCCTTTAGTCTGCAGGCCAACGTTCTATCCACTGAGCCACACTGGCCAGGGCATTATTATTATATGTGTATGTATAAATAATTGTTGAAAAAAAACATACTGGTTCACTTTTGAAAAAGACTGCTTAACAGAATGTTTAATGCAGTTCTTTTTTGGCAAAAACATACATACATGAATATGTTGTACATATGTTTATATTTACACTAGAGGCCTGATGCATGAAATTCGTGCAAGAGTAGGCCTTCCTTTCCCCGGCTGCCGGCATTGGCTTCCCTTATAGCCCCTGCTTCATCCAGAAGGCCGTCTGGGAAGATGTCCAGAAGGACATCTGGTCTAATTAGCATATTATGCTTTTATTATTATAGATAATAAAATTAAGTCTGGAAGGATATATACTGAATGGTTAATAGAGATTACCTTTTGGAAGTGAGATTACATCTCCTCTTTTATATATATTCTGTGTGGTTTTGAGTCTTTACCTTAACAGATTTTTATAATTAAAAAATAAGGATAAAAATAATATTACCTTAAAATTTTTTTAAAATAAGGACCCAAAATAAAAAAACAAGATCAGCCCTAACCGGTTTGGCTCAGTGGATAGAGCGTCAGCCTGCGGACTGAAGGGTCCCGGGTTCGATTCCGGTCAAGGGCATGTACCTTGGTTACGCGCACATCCCCAGTAGGAGGTGTGCAGGAGGCAGCTGATCGATGTTTCTCTGTCATCGATGCTTCTAACTCTCTATCCCTCTCCCTTCCTCTCTGTAAAAAAATCAATAAAATATTTTAAAAAAATAAAACAAGATCATGATAACAATTTCAAACTATATACTAGTACAGCGGTTCTCAACCTGTGGGTCGCGACCCTTTTGGCGATCGAACAACCCTTTCACAGGGGTCGCCTAAGACCATCCTGCATATCAGATATTTACATTACGATTCATAACAGTAGCAACATTACAGTTATGAAGTAGCAACGAAAATAATTTTATGGTTGGGTCACAACATGAGGAACTGTATTTAAAGGGCCAGAAGGTTGAGAACCACTGTACTAGTAGAAGGGTATAAAGTAAAAAGTAAAAGTTGGCTGACTCATTTCCACTCCCCAGAGGTAAATTGTTTCTTGCATATCTTTCCATAAATTCTTCTTTGCATATACAATTACCTGTAGGTCAATTGATTTGTGTGTGTATTACTTTTGTAACATATACATATTTTAATTAGATGATTTGATAACCCTCAAAATTTTCAGGAGGAAAAGCATTATCATTCCTTTCTCCTCCCACTATTGTACATTCTACATATGTGAAAAGCTTCAAGACCAATAGAACTTCGTGAACAATTCTTAATGGAGAAAAATACGAAAGAGGGAAATTTTTCTCCTTACACTTATTTGAGACATGGGGCTTTGCCAAGCAGGGTCAGTACCTAATAAGAAAATGGTCCAAAATTGTACCCACAGCTGTAGCAGCTCCAGCCCAAGCAGATGAAGCTAATCTCAGGCTATTAAAAGTCATTAACAGTACTTTATCTCAACTTTGAAAACATTAATTAATATTTCATCCTCTGCCAAAGTTCTTACTCATCTCAGGATCTCTCTTTTCCAAATGGGGAATTAAGACAAGGACCTCTTTGGTAACTTCCTCCAAAGATCACAGAGAAGGTCAGAACTGGGATCTGGTGTGACTATCAGCAGTATTCACTCCACACCCCATCTCTTTCTCCCCCCTGGAGTTGGGAGAAGTAATTAAATCACTGGCTTCCAAATGTGTCTGATCAGACTCAACTGGCTACATTAAAAAATAGAGATTCCTGCCCTGGCCGGTTTGGCTCAGTGGATAGAGTGTCGGCCTGCAGACTGAAGGGTCCTGGGTTCGATTCCAGTCGGGGGCATATGCCCAGGTTGTGGGCTTGGTCCCCAGTGGGGGACATGCAGGAGGCAGCCAATCGGTGATTCTCATCATTGATGTTTCTATCTCTCTCTCCCTCTCCATTCCTCTCTGAAATAAATAAAAATATATTTTTTAAAAAATACAGCCCTAACTGGTTTGGCTCAGTGGATAGAGCGTCGGCCTGCGGACTGAAGGGTCCCAGATTCAATTCCAGTCAAGGGCATGTACCTTGGTTGCGGGCACATCCCCAGTGGGGAGTGTGCAGGAGGCAGCTGATCGATGTTTCTCTGTCATCGATGCTTCTAACTCTCTATCCCTCTCCCTTCCTCTCTGTAAAAAAATCAATAAAATATATTTTAAAAAATACAGATTCCTATTCTCCCCACACTCAGATTGATTCAGGTCTGAGTAGAAAATGTAACTGTAAAAAGGAACTTCATGATCAGTAATATTGGGGAACCTCTTATTTAAATATGGTCATCCCTAAAGAAACCAAACAAACAAACAAAAAATCCTCAGTATAATTTAAACACTCTAGGCTAGAGAAAATGTCCTACTGACTGCTGGGATTACTAGCTTCCTCTGAGAGCATTTATTACTAGCCCAGAGAGGGTTTTTCTGTGGCATTATTAGTCTAAATAGCTTACCTCAGTCTAAGAAATGTGGCAGACCTGAGATTTCTGGATTCCCAAGTTCTTTGACTATCTACCAGTGCTATCCAGAACTTTCTACAATGATAGAAATGTCTGTCACATATGTGCTGTCCAATAAGTGACCACTAGCCACACTATTGAACAATTGAAATGTAACTAATATGTCTGAGAAAGTAATTTTTATGTAATTTTTTCATTTTAATAGCCACAGGAAGCTGTTGGCCAGTGTATTAGACAGCTCAGCTCTAGATTTCTAAGACCCTTGATTTAAGTGGAGCCCTCCCCAGTCCTGACTCTACTCACCTCTACCCAGGGGGACCTCTGCAGAGATCAGGGTCACATAGAGCTGATAGGTCAGCTGGGGCACTGAACCCAGGAAGGCTTGGATCTGTGACATACGCTTGTAGGCATTGCGGTGCATAGCCAGGGTCCGGATGGAGTGGCCCACCTCCCATTCTATCAGCACCTCCTCGCCATTTATTAGCATCTTCTTTCGGGTGAGGCTGACATAGGGCTCCTCCTGCCCCTCTTTCTTCAACAGTGTGAGGTATTTAATCATGGCCTCCAAACATCTGCAGAGGTAAAGCATCACGGGAACTTAACTAAAGCTGTCTTGGAAAGGGAGGTTTTAGTGGGGGGCGGGGGATAAGTCAGAGAGGTAGTGTTACTTTTTGCCATTCCTTCTCTCCCATTCTACACATTTCTTGTGAGTCAAAGAGTTGGTGGTGCCTTCTGCAAGTTACTTAAGTCTAAATCCTTTTTGTTTCTTTTTCAGTCAGTCACCCACCACCTAAGAACACCATTTCAGAAGTGTCTCTTTGAGGAATTAAGGAATTGCTTTGCCTCCTTAAGAATAAGCCCACAGGCAGGAAAGTGCCTTAAACATCAAGATATTAAGTAAACAATGTGTTGAGAGAGAATAATGATGTTCCAAAAGGCCCTGGTTGTCATAAAGCCTCAAGTTCCTGAGGTCAAGTGTCCCTTATTCAAAGCATTCAGCCCCATAATTGGGGCTTTTGAGTTCTGCTTTTTCAAGACAAAACTCACAACTATGAGTATCTCAGCTAAACAAGTCTTTTTTAAAAAATATATTTTATTGATTTTTTACAGAGAGGAAGGGAGAGAGATAGAGAGTTAGAAACATCGATGAGCTGCCTCCTGCACATCTCCTACTGGGGATGTGCCCGAAACCGAGGTACATGCCCTTGACCGGAATCGAACCTGGGACCTTTCAGTCTGCAGGCCGACGCTCTATCCACTGAGCCAAACCGGTTTCGGCTAAACAAGTCTTGACTGGGATCTAGAGAAAACCTCTCACATACATGGGAAAGCCATTTAGCAACAAAGGTACTTAAGAGACTTGACAACTTAGAACCTAATGTACTATATATCTAGGGCATCTCAAAAGATCTCTCTATGGGTTGCTTTTGGGGCCTATGGACCTGTTTGGGAACAGCAGCCTTTTAAATTTCATTATCTCTTTACAAAGAAGGAACCATACTTATGAGAGCCTACTGCCCTTGAAATAGTGATAATACCACATTTCCTACTGTACCCTTTCCATCTCCCCCATATAAAGAAGTCAGTCGAAGTTCTGATGTAATGAATAGAAGACAAGCAACTAGAACATCTTGTTTTGAAACACCTGAATTACCATTCCCTCTATTCACCCTGAAATGAATGGAAACCGTGGACTATTCCTTATAAGTAAGAGCAGTTGTGAAAATTAAGCCATCTTTTCTGATAGGCTGAGGGGAGGTGGGGGGTATATTTATCTTGCCCACCACCCTTATCACATAGTGGGTAATTGATAAATGGGTATGTGCTGAATAAGTGAAAGAGTGAGAAAGAAGTAGAGAAAACAAGGTGAGAAATAATGGGAGGAGAGGATAATAATAATAGCAGCATAATTTAACAAAAAAATAGACCACAGACAAGCAGAGATGTATATGCTCCCTAGGCCTTTGGCTCCCAAGAGGAACATGTGCGAGCTGCCATTCTCCACGGGATCCCTTTGAGATGGGTGCTTGTAAGACAGCCTGAAGCATGTAGTTCGAAACACCCACTTTCTAGGGACAAACTCTAAAACCCAGGAGAGAAAAAGATAGGAGAGAACAGAGAAGAAAAAAAAAAGCAACATTCTCTTCCTATTCAGGGAAAATGCCTAAGTGCATTTCTAACAAAATATTTTAGATTTTAATTCAAGCTTATCAATGCTATTGCTGAATAAAATTTTGAGGGTGGCAGCTGCATAAAGCATTCTCTTTTATGCTTCTAGTCTTAAGGATATTTACTGGTTTAAGTAAGGGTGTTTGCCTTGCTTATAAGCTTCAGTAAATTAGAGTACATTTTCATTTCCAGAAGTTATCTTTGCATTTATATAAGGGAGCCCAGCCCTGCAAGTGTGGCTCAGTTGGATGAGCACTGTCCCATGCACCAAGAGGTCAAAGGTTCAATTCCCAGACAGGGCACATGCCTGGGTTTCAGGCTCGATCCCCAGTAGGGGGTGTGCAGGAGGCAGCCAATCAATGTTTCTCTCTCTCATGCTCTCACCTCTCTCCCTCTCTCTCTCTCTTCATCTCTTTCTAAAATCAATAAAAAAAATATTTTTGGAAGGGAGCGGGGTCCTCCAAATACCTTCATGTGCCTAATAGCACTAATCAAGTTCCTACCTACCTAAAAAGTTATTTGACTTGAAAATAAGCATATTGAGGATATAATTTATGAGCTTTTAATTGTTTTTCCCCTGCTGTGGGGCTAACTGACTGATATTATAAATGCTTTCCAATCATTTCTAGTGGAAGCTAAATGACAAAAATAAAATATAGTATTCAACAGTCCATATGGTGGAGTCCAAATCAAAGATGGCTTGGGAGGCCACAAAGCAAAAGGGGGAAGTCAGAACTGGGGGCTGGTATGAACTCGCTAACATTTGCATCTTGAAAGTGCTTGATCTATTAACTCAAAATCTTGCATTTGAAAAGGGAGAGAAGAATGGACTCCATGCTCCTCTAGTGACATCTCTAAATTTCTTGCTTCTAGGTTGATGAGGTCTTCCTTTTACAGCTTAACTTCAAAGATTTAGAACTGAAAAGGACCTTTTTAGATTACCTAGTCCAAAGGTTAGATATAGGCCAGCTAAGTCACATCTGATCAATAGCTGTGATTTGTTTGGCATACACCATGTTTTTATTTTATTAGTCATGTGCCAAAATTTAAAATCATAGTATTTCATATAAAATTCTATTTTTGGGAGCTTCTCCTGGAAAGCTGGGGGATCTGGCAATACTGGGTCTGAATTTCAACAGGGAAACAATGGGTGGGAGCTCTAGAGTCTGCTTCAAAGGAGGCAGATCATGTGGACTCCAGTTGCCACAGTCATCACTACTCTCCATCATTTAACATGGAACTTTATTTTCATTTATCATCACACATAAAGCTACTGTTTTTTTCATACATGGCCCATTTTATTAATTTGTGATGCCTGCCTGGCCTCTATAAGCATTTGAGAGCCATGATCTAGCCCATACAACCCATTTATTTTACAGATGAAGAAACTGTGGGCCAAGGCGTCTTCAGAGATTTTATCAAGGCCATGCAACTAGTCAGTGACACAGTTAGGGCTAAATAACAGGTCTCCTAAATTCCAGGCCACTGTTTCTGTTTATATCTCATATTTGCTCTGATGGAGCCTAATCAATTCCTCCCTGATTAAACATATATTGTTAAAATTTTAAAGGGGAAGTTCCATCCTTAATCAGCTTTGGACTGTGTTTATTTCCACAAGGATAACATATTTTCCCATTGAAATTACAACATCAGCACTCTGACCCATATTCCTCAGCTGACTGTAGGTTTCTGCCTCTCTTGCAATCAAGACAAACTTGGTCCATTCCTTTCTCCTGACTTCATAAGTTTTGCAACATCTCCCTATCTGGGTAATCCCATAGCGTCCAGATGAGACTGCTGACATAGATGCCTGTCTCCCTGGGATACGGCACATTCTTGTATCTTCAAGGCAATCGAATGGAAATACTTGATGCTACTACATTGTGCTACAGCATCCAGATGGACAAATGGACCATCTTTCTTTGCCCTTTTCTAACCATGTACCTTTACTTTAAAAAGATACAAAGAGATAAACAGGAAATGTATGAACTAGCAGAGAAAAATGAATTACAGTGAACTGGGGTACCAGATGACCACAGATGGCTTAAAATATCCAGCCCAAGCAGTTCAGGATAAAGAAATTGAATGTGAGATGGGATGTATGGGTTAGGAACTTTCATTCAATTTATAGAGCATCTAAAAGCCAGTCAAAATAACACACACTTCAGTTAAGTATGGCCTATGTGCACAAGGTGACCATGTCAGTTGATCCCTACCAATTTTCCCAACTCAAATCCAGATAGCAAATATTGTTTAATCTAGTTGTATCAATGGTACTATACATAGTTTTGGAACACAGGTACATGTCACATGTTCATCTTGGTGGCATCTAAGACTTCAGATAAGATTTTTTGGATGGTACGCAGGGAAGCCAAGAGTAGGAGGAAATGAGAGAACCAATTGGAGGCACAGTATCAGTCTCGTAAATATTAACTTCATCTTTCTCTGCACAAGTTCGGGGTAGTGGTGGGGGGAAGGGGAAGAGGGGAGGTGGGAAGAGATCAAAAGGTTACTCACCTGATAACAGGTCCCAAAAGTATTAGATGCATAAACAATGAGAGTGGCTTGTCTTTAGCCAGATCTCTGTGGACAAAAATGAGTGTCAACTGGACCATAATGGATGAAAACATAAAGAAGGAAAAGGTGTATGCCATCCAGTAGGTTTCACTATTCTTTCGATAGATTCTAACCATGTACAAGGCAGATGCAGCCTCCCCACAGTACAGGAAGGTAGAGAAAAGGATGCCAAATGGAAAGGTAAATCGAGGGTTGGCCCCACGGATGACATCTTCCTCCAGAGATGAAATCGGATCCACATTTGGCTCCTCGGGCATTTCATAAACTCGGTCCATTGTCAAGGTTCTGAGCGTTTGGGTCTGGTCTTCAGAGAGAACCCTTCCCAACCCCCCTAAGAGAACCCTGAAGCCACTGCAGTCCACGTATTGGTGAGAAGAGCTGTCAGGTCCAATTCCAGAATGGAGATCTAATAGAGCAGGAGACCCCTCTCTTCTAGTCTCAAATTAGACTTGTTGAAGTCTGGGATGGAGAGCCCAGGAGTACCACTTTGAACTTGATTCTTGATTGGCTCAGGATTCCAATTGTCAACATACGTGCTCTGAAACTTGGACAAGGCAAAAGCAAGCATTTTTGTGCCCGGTCCAGAATCCAGTTCCAGGCAGTTGAAGGGCCATGAGGACAGCCGCTCTAACACTCAGCAGCTCCTCTCGAGGAGTCCTGACCAGCGTGCCCTCTCAAATCAGCCAAGTACTGAGCCAGGGTAGTAGAGGGGGCGCAGCCTGAGTGGCTCTTAGCTTGCCTTCTCGTCCGGTTCTCTCTCAGGACCCACGCTTAGTCGAAGGTTCTCAGGATGGCTCCTCGGATCCCGCAAGCTCCGCCCCCAAGGCTGGAGGGAGGCCACAACCCTGTCACTGAGCGCAGTCTTCGGGAAGAGAAGCTGAGCGCGCGCGCTACAGGATTAAGAGAAAGCTGGAGGGGCTTCTTTTCCACGAAAAAAGTTTGCTTGCGTGAAGCACGACGTGCGGGGCGCCAACATGGCCGGGCAGATGTCGCCAAACTTGAGTACCATCTGCTGCCGGATGCTGCCGGGGTCCTAGTTCAGCTGTGAGAGGACGGTGGCTTCAGGAACTAAGGCACTGATGACCGGGGCTGGCTAAAAGGCAGGAACAACTGCGGCCAAACAAAGCCCGCTTGGAGTTCCTGGGCGGGATGCTCAGTGTGGAGAGGCACGACAAAAAGGGGCTTGGACCGATCTTCAGAAGCACTTCTCGCCAGGACTCCGGACCCCAAAGGGAGCCACAGCTATTGTCTTCCACCAAGCCGCAGACGCCTGCTTCTACTCCGCCCTCCCTAACTAGCTTGCTCCCACACTCGCTCAACCCACGCTTGGGCAGGTGTGTCTCTCTGGGCCTCGGGGTTGAACCTCCCTAGGTCCTACTGCCCTCCAGATAATATCACCGTGTAGTTGAGGGAAGACCTGGGAGGCAATTGGGCCATGGCGTTTCCTTTCAAGGCAAGACTCTATGCAGCAGAGGGAAGACAGAAAATGATAGGGGACCGTCAAGACTCCAGGTTAGCCCACAGACACTGAAAGCTCATATTATATGCCTTGCTTTTTCCACTTGCAAAATGAGGCCAGTGTAGGCACTTTAGAATGAACGTACAGGTCTTTGGCAGGAAGGTTCTGAAGAGGTGCCAGAATATAAATAAAATGAACAGGAGCCAAGAGAGCTGTTAATAAAAACTAAGAGGGGTGTCTTAAAGAGCCCTGAAAATAGCCTGGATTCTTAAGAGCAATACTTCTCCACCTCACTGAGCTTTTGTTTTCATGCCTTCATTTGCATAATTCTAAACCACAGAGAAAACATCTGCATCCTGATGGTAATATAAATGTAGCAGAGCCTGTGCCAATCTCATTTTGCTGCAGGAATTTAGTAAAAAGAATCCATGTGAGGAGTGGCCAAGTAGAAGCCACCAAAATAATGAAAGACTTAGTCTTGTTTTCGTGTTGGTTTTTAAAATCCCTGCAATTGCTGCCTCCTTCTCCAAGGGCTGATTCAGAGACAAATCAACTGCTAAAGGGCGTTGCCTTTGAAACAGTTGCCCCATCTTGGTCTGCACCTGTGCTACCAGCTGGGCTAGCAGGCTGATCTTTCCTCTTTTCTGTTTCACAAGGTGGTTCAACACTATCTGAGAACACCTCACACATCGTGTTCATTGTTTGGGACTTCCCAACTAACATAGGTTCTCCACCAACAGTGTATGATGCAGAACTTCTTGGGAGCTTTTTAGGAACCTATTCTCAAGATGGAATTCAAGTAAGGTGACAAACTCATCTCAAGTTTGTTGAGATAGGATGAGTTGGTCACCCTACCACTGGAGATTGAAGCTAGGAAAAATGTGGAATCCCAATATTTTTCCTTTAGTCTGTTCTCCTTCCCTGTGCTTTCATCACTCCCCAAATACCTAAATCTACAAGGCTTTCCTACTTTGTTCCAAAACAATTCCTTTTGTCTGCCATTCAAGACTCTATAATCACCACACTAGTACTTGCCTCTCCAACTTTATTGCCCACTTTACCCTATCACATACCCGTTGCTCCAGTCCAGTAGGTTTTCTCATTTAATCATACCTGCCTTGTGCACTCCCACCTCTGTGCCTTATTAAGGTCATTTACACACCCCTTCACTCTTTTTTCTATAGTCCAAACCCTTCCCTTCCTTTAAGGGTCAGCTCAAGTACAGGCATACTTCGTTTTGTTGTCCTTCACTTTATTGTGCTTGAAGGCAAGACCCTCCACCAGCAATAATATTACAAGTCACTTTACTGCAACGATCTGAAACTGAACCCACAAAATCTCCAAGATATGCCTGCACTACCTCCTCCAGGAAGCCGCCTCTCACTTCCCCAACCTTCACTTTTCCCTCTCTCTTTTTGCTACTGGCACATGCTATCTTGTACTAGTCCTTCAACAATTTCTGTGTTTGCCCTGCCTCTCCAACAAATATGTATACCCAGGGAGAGATGCTCAACTAATGTTTACTGTAGTTCTTGTTGATAACAATAGTGATTGACAAATGGTGATGATGATGAAACTTCCTCCCCCATGCTTCCTCCAGGAAACCATGCAAGACTCAGGCATATTCATCTTTAAAAAATGTAGCCACTGTAGCCAGGGCATAACATCCCTTGGTACACACACTGCCTAAGCCAGCCATTCAGCTCACAGAGGATGCCAACCTACATGATCTGTCCTTCTCAAAGTTCCTACAGTGCTTTTTTGTCAAAATCAGTTTAGCAGCAAATTACAAATTATTTCAAGTGCATTAATTTTTACCCCACAACTAAATTATCATATGTTCCTTGAAGGCAGAGCCCCTGCTGTTACACTTTTTCTGGGTTTCCCCATGGCTAGTATAGACCTGTGAGTTCCCTGCCATCTGATCCCCCTCTCCCACCTGCTTCTCTATTTCCAGCCCCAGGACTCTCTGGCACTTTAGGTCACTAAATCCTCTGGTCTCTTATTTCCCTGTTCCTTTTGCTCTGCTGGGAGAAACTGACAATTTGCCGTATCTATCCAACTCTCTTTCCTCTTTCAAGCATTCTCCAGACTTCAGCCCTTTACTCCTCTTCATAGGACTAGAGACTGGAAATGTTGACAGTCAGGAGACTGCGGAGGCCCTGGGAACCTCTTCCGCATTAAAAGTACTGATCTCCCAAGGACTGGTCATCTGAGATGGTACCCCAGGCTGCCTGTTCGCTGACTGCTAGGTAGTGTTTGGGGATCAATTTCCTCTTCTTCATGCAGATCCAAAGTTCTGTAGGAAAGGGTTACCCAAATTTGACTCCTCACCCACCCCTACCTCCAACTCCTAAATCAGCAGGAGCAGAAAATGGGTCTAAAAGCTCTTGGCATCTTTATCAGGATTCAGAACCCCTCTGAATCATATAAGGCTTGGGGATAGGTTTGAGCTTTCAAAGCCACTGCAACCAGAGCTGATGTATAAGAGGTAGCTGGCATTCCCAAGGGGAGAGGACGGGGAGAGATGTGCAGCAAGTGGCTAATAGTCCAGTCACAGAACACTAGTTGGTGGGAAGTGATGTGCAAGGCCTGGAGAATCAGTAGCTAGGATGGAAGAATGGATTCTTCTGTAGAATGATGAGTTTGGACTGTTAGAATCTTTAAAAGATACCCAATGCAAAATCATTCCTGTATGTTCTGGGCCTTCTCTTTTCCCTGGAAGCTCCCTGAGGACAAAGACTTTTGCCTATCCTGTTCCAAGCCACTCCCTCATCAGTATCCTCCATAGGTGGCATCTGGGCCTGGAATCAAAACACAAGTGAGTTCCCTAAAGCCCTTACCCGTAGCATTTTTATTTTTTAAAATTTGTTAAAATGATCATCTCAGTTAGCATTGAAGGCAAGGAAATACTACCACAAAATGCAGCATGGAATTTGGGGGTGAAGGGTTTTGCCAGGCAGTTCTGGTGGAGGGAAGGGATGGGAGAGGTGGTTTATTTATTTAAGAGAAATGATTTATTCTATCAATAATAGCTATATTGAGATATAATTTACAGACCACACCATTTGCTCATTTAAAGTATACAATTCAGCCCTAACCGGTTTGGCTCAGTGGATAGAGCGTCGGTCTGCGGACTGAAAGGTCCCAGGTTCGATTCTGGCCAAGGGCATGTACCTTGGTTGCGGGCACATCCCCGGTGGGGGGTGTGCAGGAGGCAGCTGATCGATGTTTCTCTCTCATTGATATTTCTAACTCTCTGTCCCTCTCCTTTCCTCTCTATGAAAAATCAATAAAATATATTTTTAAAAAAATAAAGTATACAATTCAGTGGTTTTAGTACAATGTTGTGCAGCCATTACCACTACCTAGTTCCAGAATATTTTCATCACCCCCCAAAAGAAATCCAATATCCATTAAGCTTTCACTCGCCATTGTTGTCTCCCCCAGCCTAGAAAAATCACTAATCCAATTTATATCTCTATGAATTTTTTCTATTCTGGACAGTCCATATAAATGTGATCATATAATATATGGCCTTTTGTGTGTCTGGCTCCTTTTATTTATCATAATGTTATCAAAGTTCATCCATGTTGTAGCATGTGTCAGTACTTCATTTCTTTTTATGGTGAATAATATTCCATTGCATGGATATACCACATTTTATTTATCTATTAATCTGTTGATGGAATAAGGGTTTGTATTAGTCAGAGTTTTTCAGAGAAACAGAATGGGGAGGGGAAGGGAGAGAGAGATTTAAGGATTCACACAGTTATGGGGCCTGGTTTGTAGACATGCCAGCAGACTATAAATTCAGGAAAGAGGTGATGTTGCAGTCTTGAGTACAAAAGCTGGAAACAGGAAGAATTTCTATGTTGCAGTCTGGAAGCAGAATTCCTTCTTCTTCCGGGGGCCTCAGTCTTTGCTCCTAATCTGTTTTATTCAACATCTACTAATTTAAATGTCAATAATATCTAAAAAATACCTTCACAACACATCTAGATGCATTTGACCAAACAACTGGGCACCATAGCCTAGCCAAGTTGACACATAAAATTAACCATCATAGGGTTGTTTCTACTTTTTGGCTATTATGAATAATGCAGCTAGGAATATCTGTGTACACGTTTTTGCATAAACATGTTTTCAATTCACTTGTGTATATGCCTACAAATAAAAAGCTGGATCATGTGTCAACTACATGTAAAATTTTGAGGGATTGCCAGACTTTTCCAAAGTGGCTGCACCATTTTATATTTCCATCAGCAGTGTGTTTCTCCATATCCTCAACAACGCTTGTTATCTGTCTTTTTATTATAGCCACACAGTGGTTTTTGATTTGCATTTCTCTGATGGCTAAAGTGATTGATTGGTTGATTGATTAATTGATTGTGTGTGTGTAAGTCATTTGAAACCAGCTGGCCACGCTCTTTCAATTACTTCAATAAACATTTATTTGTAAATATTTGTAATAGCAACAAGCAAGACAAAGATCTCTACTCTCAGGGAGTATAGCATACATTTGTCCTTGAAGGTGTTGCTGTCCAGCATTTTAACCCCTTTATTTGGGGAAGAGAATATAGGAATCTTGATAGGAAGCAGGTCCGCCTTACAGTCAGGGCATAGGCATGCAACTTAGGCTCACTCAATCCAAGGATCCATCCGTTGAATTGGGAGCCAGTGACCCACAGAAGTGGACAATCTTCTCCAATTGAGACAGTCATGAAAATGTGCCTCTTGGTTCTTCCAATGTGGAGAGTGTAATTGACCTTTGCCCCAGCAGCTGTGCTCTCAGTTCACTCCAATATTTGCTGCTTTGC